GTTCATGCAAGAAGTTTTATTAAGCAATATTTTGCAACAGTGTAGAACTAAAAATGTTTCGAAGCCGCGAGTTTCGTATTGGCGCGTTATTTAATGTGATGGTTTTTCATGTTTATCACTCAAAATCAGTTATTGATAATAAGTAATCATATCATAAACTCAGCGTATGTTATCTATAAAAGTAGCTATAGTATTCATCTAAATTCATTTCAGCTTTGATATGTATTTTACCTCCAAAAGTAGAGATCAGTTCAAAATTAGTTTCATAATTATCTAGATAAAAGTGTAGATTAGTTTGGCCCGTTAAAGTACCGAAAACTGTTTCATTTACACATTGCTAAGGTAATTTTCAAATTACTTAGATAATTTGCACATTTCTTATGAGGCACTCTTTCGTCTTTCTTTCTTCTTTTTTCTTTCTTTTCTTCTTAAGCACGATCTTTGCTTTTTTAAATCAGATCTCTTCAAGAACAACAGCAAGGTTTCTTTACCCACAAACTAACAAAATGTTATAGACTTATTCTTCGATATCTTAAAGAACCAAGTGAACACAATAATATAATCAACAAATTAATTGATAGAATCAACCAGCAATCAATTAAAGAACTACAATTAAAAAAACTAAATAGTCTAAAATATTGTTACAATTAAAAATATTAATATTTGAACTTTATATATCAGAAGCCATTAATGTTCACATTACCTAGGTAAAATATGGACACTTTCAATTTTTCATTTTAAAGGACCTAGAGAAACTGTACATTAGCTAGGTAATGTGCATATAAATGGCTCTCGTACTTTATTCAAATATCTGTACCTTAGATTAGCTTTTAATATCAAATAAATTAGTTTACATCATTAATTTATTTATTAATTTTATTTCTAGGTGACCAAGATTACCCATCGGGACCACATCCATTACTTCAACATTCCCTTTCCGCTTCCTCCTCCAGCCATCATCCTCCGGTCCAACAAGCTTCGCGCTACCTCATCAACCGACGTCACCCTCTGGCCATCAGCAACATCTCCATCCCTCGCAGTAACAGCAATCTCCTCCTGGAAGATCCTCTATGGTCCTCATCACCAACTATCCACCATCTCTCTGTACCTTCCTCTTCATCCTCTTCCTCCTCCTCAGCTCTTTCGCCTTTAGCTCGCAAGAGGCCAAAGCCTATTATGATCAAGCAAGCACATGTCGAGAGCGACTTAGATGTTGCCAGTTCTGTGAGCAGTAAACCATTGTCGAGTGCGTGGAAGCAAGCCTTGGTAGCAGCTACTGGGGAGGCAGGAGAGGAGGAGGTTCAAGTGATGGGAATCCCTGATCAGGTGCCACCTGTCATACCACCAACGAAAGAGCGGAAAAGAACGCATAGAAAAGGTCCTAAAGTCCTAGAAAGGCCAAGCAAGGCCCTATTTTGCCTAACGCTTGAAAATCCAGTGAGGAGATTATGTATTAGCGTCGTAGAGTGGAAATATCCTTTTTATATATATATAAAATTAATTTTTTGTTTACTAAACTTATTTTCAAAATTATAACATGTAGATGCGTAACGTGTAATATTTTCATTAAAAAATTAGAATGCATGTATTAGAAAAAATAATTCTAAAAGAAATTCATAAATAAAAAAAATCAGTCAATAAATTTTGTAAAATTCAAATATTAATCTAGTTTCGAATACAATAACCGATGATGGTCAGTATTGTCTACTGAATTGTAGAGGAAAGACTTTTTCAAAATTCTTGATAAAGATAAGGTTTCAAAAATTTTCCATATAATTCTTAAATATGTAATTATAAAAAGTTTCGTCAGTGTCCAATTGTGAAGTGTTTAATATGATTTAAATGACAGATTCAGAATACAGATCTTGATTTATCTCGTTTCAAATTTTTTTTTAAGTATATGACTAACAAGGTGGTGCATGGAAAGATACGCTCACTCACCAAATTTCTAGTACATATTACAAAAGTTCAATGTGTGCAACAGTAATTTCCCGGTACCATCCCAATATTAAGTCGATTTCGTCTAATAGTTCAATAACATCTTCTATCAATGTCCGTCCTAGCTGCTGAGATATGTCCCTGACATATTATTGGTACTGGAAGTATTGGAAGTTTATGTAACTCAATGCTGTTAAAACTGCAGGAACTGTTCTTGTTGTTGCTGTGCTGTCTATTTCAATACTAAATATTTCCAAAAATTGGGTGGGTTGCAAGGTCTGGTCCCTGAATACTGTATAGGATGTCTTCTGGTAGTGAACCGATTTTAGAAAGTGCAGCTAGAATGGTCTGACATTTGAAAATGTTTTTTTTTGTTGCATTAATTGAGTTTATAGACAATGAATGTTCACTTATGGGGTAGTATCTGGTTGTCTTGTCTGGTAAATATCTTAATTTTTAGAAATACCCTGTACGTATTCTTGCTATTTCGAAAGAGAGGTTTTGAAAAGGTTCAATAATAGGAGCATGTTATTGATCATATTATATACACGGAGTGGCCAAATTATTATGACTACCTCAGAGTTTTATGCAAATGAGTTATTGCGTCACAGCGCTGCCGCTAGAGGGCAAGATAACTATAACGCGGGAATGCTGGATAAGTGAGTCATCAGTTATACTGTGTTGCTTGCTCAGGTATGGGAAAGAAAAGTGATTTAACTGAATTTCAAAGTGGAATTATTGTGGGTGCGAGATGTGTCGGATAGAGCATCAGCAAAACGGCTGCACTTATGAAGTGTTCTAGAGCAGCAGCTGCTAATGTGTACAAAGAATGGACAATCAAGCAAAAAACCGGGTCTCAACGTCTGACTTGTGGTCGTCACAGGGTACTGAATGCTTGATCAGAGAGAAGGCTGGCCAGGGTTGTGCAGCGCAACAGGAGAGTAACAGTGCGATAAATTGCAAGTGATCTTAATCAAGGAGCAACTGTGAACGTCTCTGAATGGACTGTTCGACGCACATTGCGCCGAAAAGGGTTTGGAAGCAGACGACTGAAGGAGTGGTCATAATAATTTGGCCACTCAGTGTAGAAGCGAGTCATAAGGAAATTAATAAAATATACAAATACAAATTATAAACGTTAACACTCAAAAAATTTAAAATTTGAAGATCGTCATCAATTAGGCATTAGCGTAAGCGTAACAATATGACTGCGTAACGTGGAAGCGTCAATAGAAAATCTAACGAATATGTTTCTGGTATCCGTTATAGCAATCAAAAGTTTTATTCTTTTCCTTATGGTGTTAAAAGGCACGCTCATGTCATTTTAGAGACTTAACTCTTTTAATTAGGTTCTATCTAAGACGCAAAACATTAATTCATGGTTCTTTAAAAAGCACAAGAATGAATTTGCATTACGTAATTGGGGGTAACAAAGTATTTCGTAAAATCTCTCCAAACATTGCAGACACCAATACCACAGACGTTGTAAGAAACATGATAGCCACTTACAATTATCACATCTTGGTACTATATTTTTTCAGCATCTAGTTTGCTACGCTTACTTCATATTTCTTAATACTGTAGTAGGATGCAGTGTTTGGCTTTTATGTTTTAAACTATCGTCTGCAAACACACACATATTCGAAAGAATACTATTTGGAATTATTGCCTTCATTTGCTTTATTACCTATTTAATCAGCGTTGTTTTTATTTTTCGCTGCGAAAGATGAATATAATAATGAAAATCATCAAGGGCAATAGCATGCAATTTTTACCTGTTCATCAGCATACGCAAAAACAACATGAAAAATGGAGGAAAAAAAACATCCAAATGAACCAAATGACGATGCTAATGTTAAAAACAGTATCAAGTACTCCGGGAAAAAACGAAACGCCTCTTTATAATCAACTAACACTGAATTTTAATCATTGCTGTAGAAAATTCCTTTTATTTTATCCCCAACTTATTCACCCATTCAGAAATTTAATGAAACTCATATTCGATAGTACAGTGAGTATAAGATTCATTGATTACTCTCTAATTTTAATTCTTTCCTCCCTTTTTAAATTTCACCTAAATTGGCAGGTTTAAGAATAATCAAATGATGATATTCATATCTGCAGTATCTCAATTTTTACGGATTTATAAACCTACAAATATAATAAAAAGAGAGCTTGACGTTTAATAAAATACTATTAATATTTTGAAAAATTCTCCAATTAATTTCTTTTCATTCTTCTACATTCATTGTTTAAAAATGTATGGGAAAATGGTTAAATAACAATTTATTTAACTGTTATTTTACCATATTAAAAAAAGTTAAATAACTATAAATGAGATGGTAATCAAACTGCGAACTGTGAGTATGGTGTAAGTATGGTGTAAATAGTATGGTAAAATCTCACCCACTCTCCCAGCTAGAGGGGGGTGGACTAATATCAAGACAGTAGCGGCGATGGTTAGATTGGCAATATCGTACAGCAAAAGACATGCGAAAACAATCGCTCCCGCATTAAATACTAACACAAAATGAGGTAAAAAGGCTCAGTCTTGCATCCTTACGCAATAAGGTAAATCATTTACTGCTTCCTAATATGGAAGTGAAGGAGGGACAGATTCTAAAAATAACTCCTCCTTTGAAATATAAATCTAATTATAATTCAATGGTATGTTTTCAGCCTTGAATTCCCAAAATAGAATATTTCTACATTTATTCCTTACCAAAGACAATTTGTGAAAACGAAAGAGTTTTAATGGTTTCATTAATACAAAAGTATTTATAATTTTTGTATTGCACACATACCCCCCCCACACACACATATATATATATATATATATATATATATATATTATTCTAATAGTCTAGTTATTATAGTAAAATGGTGTATTCAAAATGTCATTGTAGTATATGCAAATTATAATCATTATAGAACATATGAATTTTTATTGCTAAAAATATTTAAATTGTATTTTGATTAATAAAATCATTGAAAATATTTTATATATATGTATAAAATGATTTGTCCTTAATTTCTTTTTCTTACGCCATTTGAATATCTTATCCTTTTCACCATATTTTGCAACTGCGTAGCCTTAGCTATCTACACACCCCACGCAAATATGGATTCTAATAAATTAAATCATTATTTAGTAAGTATAAACTTTTCCATGTTTACCTATTACAATGTAAAATAATCAGGATCAAATTACAGTAAAAAGTACTGACACCCAGAGTGCTGCATCTGTAAATTCGTTTTTTACTGTTAAATTTTACACCTTTATTTTCACAGTAATGTTCAGTCTTTTCATAGAAAGTATTACTATGAAAATTACAGTATATCAGATGTTTTTTCCCTAATATGTTACGGAATAATCGGTTCGGAATAGTTTACAGTGTGTGAAATATTTTATTGTTCCATTACAAAATATAGTTATGCGTTATAAACTATGATATTGCATATTCTGGTAGCAAAAAACGATTTCCTTTTTGATTAAAATGAATAAAATAATCCCCTAAAGTTAGTTTGATCAAAAAACAACTTGAATTAGAAATTAGTGGTTAATTCATTTTTTGCAGATGTTCTAACTTAAATTAAATATAAAAAAAACGAATCAAACTAAAATATGCTCTTCTGTTCATTGTAGATGTAAAAAAGGACACGGAACTCATGATTAAAGTCACCCGATTCAAATCTCTCTAGAGCTTAGTTTAATTAACGAACTTGAAATAAATGTTGTTCTATAATTTATTTAGATGCTGTGGAATAGAATTGTGGCTGAGGAACGAGAGCATGAATTAAATAAATAGAATGAATTAAATGTTATGTTTTCAGAGAAAATTGGATAGAAAAGACAAGTTTTTAGGATTGTCGATTGTTGAAAGTTAGACTTTTAAGTGTTAAAATAGACTTTATTTTATGTGAACTATAATTTTTTTTATTTTGTAATTTCTTTTACTTTGTATTATAAATATTTGCAAACTCTTATGAGCACAAATATTGTTTTTATATTGAGTTTGGTTTTCGTAAGTTAATTTTATAGCCTTTAAAAATATTTTATTCTGTTTGTACACCAACTTTTTTATCATAAATTCCTATTATATTAACATTTTTTAAATAGTTTATTTATAACACTTAGCATTAAAGTAAATATCGCATATATTAAAAATAAAAAGGTGGCAATTCTGATAGAATATTACATAAATTTAAATGAAATATACTAATCAGATCGATGTTTGATAATAATCACTTATAAATAACAACAAAAATTTTAAAAAGTTAACTATTATTTTTTAAATTATTAATTCCTTTTGCTCTTGAAATTGTATTTTATCTAAATTTTTTTAAAAGAAATTAAAAATGGTTAGTTCTCCTGAAAAAGCATAAATAAATTTTTTTTTTAATCATCAGACATTGTTGGATTTTTTATAATTTTGATTTTGTTGAAATTTTCTGAATATGCTAATTAAAGAAAACTATTAGGCACTTTTTGTTTTCATTTTTGCGAAAAGATTTTTTCTCAACTTATTGTGGAGTCAAAATTAGATAGGATACTCTAGAATTTTGAAAAAAATACATCTATTTCCATGCGAAACTATTTTTTGTGAAATGAGTGAGCCATGAAACTGACCAATTGCAACTTTTAAACTATTTATTTTCAACTTCTATGCTACCATATATTTTTTACTACTTTAATATTATCTATTAAGACATAATTAGTTTCAGAGGACCTTTGTTTCAAAGGACGAATTCATTAGAAAATCTTAAAAATACTTAAATTCTTCTTTAAAATTCTTAAACTTTAACTGACAAAATCTACTTCCTCCAACAGTGAACTACAAAACTATATATTTCTGTGAATGCATATTAATGAATAGTACCAAAAAATGAACATATGTGTGGTGTACATTTACCCTGACCTTAACATTGACCTCATAATAGCAAGAAACTACAATTTGGCCCAAATTTCAAAGTCATTAATCGCTTTTGCCGAACTAGGAAAGTATGAAATTTGTTGAAAAAAAAAAGCCTTAAGTATAACCAAAACTGAATCAATTCACAGATATATGGTTACTGATTTAACGTTTGTCCAATATGGCCCTAAACATTTAGGAACATGTCTAAATAATTGAATACAAAAGTACTTAAGGGAAAGATGCAAATTGTTTTGAAAATGTGATTTAAGCTCAATATGAATATCTGAAGTTATTCTTTCCCGAAGTGTGCTTTGTTCTCTATCTGGAATTAAAGGAGGTTAAGAGGACAAACGAGGAAAAACAGGGAAAGTGACATAATGTTTCCGATGTAATTTTTTACTCTGAATAAAATGAATTTGTACCCCAGTCAATATATTTTATACAGAAGAACTTACTCATGTTTGATATAGAAACAGAACAAATTGTGACTTAATATCAATTTGAATACGTATCTATGCGTCAAACATTGCTGTCTGGTCGAGTGAAGTATTAGTTCCAATATATTTTTCAGCAATCGATAGGAACATTAAAGTTCGTTAAAATTTTAACGTTATAAAAAAGTTTTGCATAAAAAAATATAAATGAACTTTTATGCACTTACTAACTTAAAACATTTGCAAATTTAATTTTTGAGATATTATACATTAAAAAGACATAAATATAAACTTAACTTTCTTAAACTTACTTAACTTAAACTTGGTAACTTAAACTTGCAAAGATTTACTCGTGACAGGTTTTAAACAGAAGGAATTTTTTTCTTGCCATCATAGAAAGTTTTCAAAATAATTCACGGTTTTTTAGCGTTACATATACTAAATTTCTCTAACATATTTTTGAAATAATGAATGTTATAATCATTATTCAAAAAGCAAAGAAACTTTAAAAAAAAGTTGCTATTTGAATACAGCACATTATATATAGGAATTCAGAAGCTAATATCCATTTCATAGTAAATAAAATACCGGCTTAGATAAAACAATTTTTCTCTCTCCAAATATTTAATTCTTAATTCTTTTCTCAATAAAAGTAACAATTAACTTTTTATTTAATTTTAACTACTGGATATCCAATTCTATTTTTAAATTTATGTGCTGATTTTCATTTTTTAAACGTCGTTGAGCAGTTACGCAATTTTTGGTTTACGACTACTAACGTTCAACTCCGTAGACTTGTAATTTTGAACCCTATCCAGAAGTCAGGGGAACTCCTGGATCAAGTATTGGATTAAATTTGCCTTCGTGGAGCGCTTTGTTACATGGTAACGTTACTTTTCGTTACTGTATTTCCGTTGCATGGAGCGGAAAACTACGAAAACCTCTCCTGAATAGCCAGATAGCAAGGAGACTCTAACGCATGATCCGTCTTCCATTGAGGATATTTTATAGGACTGTGGTCGGTAAAAGCCGGGTGCGAAATTCGCATCAATCAGACATCGCTGGGGTTTGAACCCAGCTCACCTAATCAGTAAAATTTAAAATTTAGATTTTTTTTAAAATTTTTATTATTCATATTTAATTTTTCAATCATTATCTTTCCCGATTTTTATCGTCAATTTTTAAAGATTAAGATACAGTTACTTTTTCGTGTATTGACAGACGAAACTGAAATCAGAAATCAACTCACGAAAACTATACCAAAGGGCTTTTTTTCGTTGTTTTACTCAGAGTATTTAGCTATTTTTTATTCGAATAAATTTTAAATTTAAGACAAATAAAATTTCTTTTTGAAAATTAATTTTTGAAATACTAATTTTTTTGTTGTCAGAATTTTCTAACATTTTTGAATTTTCTCGGACTTCAAATGTATTTTCTGAAGAATGTTGATTTTGAGAAAATTTCTCTAAGCTAACACACATTACAAGAAAAAGTTTGTTATTAAATTATTTGAGCTTTTGAATGAAAATTTTGCATAATGTTAGCGATGTTTTGAAATAAAAGCTAAAGGCTAAGTTAGAGTTTGCTATTTTTTATAACCTTTAAGTAAGAATACTTATAATTTTTTTAAAAAAAATTCGATATTAAACACTGTATTTAATTTCATTCTATAGTTTTCTTCTTCAATTTTTTAAAATTTACTTTCAATATACTGATATACACATATAATTGAACTAGAAAATTTTTTATTTTGTAATTTATGCATTACAATCTGTTTTAGAGCTGCTAATAATTTTTAAGCTCCAATTTGCCCCTTTTTTAAAAATATTTCATAAATTTTTGAACTTTAATTTACAATTATAATTTTAAGAGGCTGGATTACCAAATATGAAATTAAAATTTTAATTGAACCACTTTTTAAGAAATAAAATCATGTCTAAACATGTCGGACACCTAAGAATGGCTATAATTTGACTCATATTAATATTTACCAATAATTAATTAATACTTACACTTTTAACTCACTTTTCAAATAGCATATATATAAAATACATTTCACGTTCTGCTTGCACGTTAAACAAACACATCTAATTTAATGACTTAAGCGAAAGTTAGGAAAAACAAAAGTTCAATAACGAAATATTAAGAATTTTTTTTTCAATTTCATTTTAAAAATGAAAGAAGTTTATGCACTTGAAAGAATAAAATCAGAAAAGATAAGAAAAAGATCTAGTTAAAAATAATTTATTTATGAATTTTGAAGTCTATTCATTTTCTCTCGAGTAAAAATCAAAATTAAACTCCAAACATTTTAAACCCACGTTAAACAAAATATGAAACATGAGCCGTTGTTAAAAATTATTGCACGAAATAAAAAATATATCCGAAAAAGAAAATTGCTTCTCCATATTTTTCTTTCTTCCTGAGAATAATTAAAAGTAATTTATTTGTCAGACGTTCGAATTTTTTGTTTTTATTTTAAAACAGCCTTTGCTAAAATATTATTGATTTAAAGAGGAAATTTCAAATTAGTGTTTTAATTTAAAACCTTGAATAAGCTCAGAAGTTTAATAATAAAATATTCGAAAGTAGTTTGTTTTAAATAAGCACTTTAATATGTTCGTAGTATTACCTTTTTTTATTTAAATATTATTTATCAAAAAATTAAAGTAATAATGAGGAGAGATTTTAATCTTTATTCATTATTCATTATGTTTGAAAGTTGAAATTCATTTAAACTTAAAAATATATAGGAACAAATTTAATGCAGTGTATACGCTCACTGTAAGCAATTTTCGGATAAAATTTCAGGATAGAGTACAGGCACTCAGGGTGCCGGTACTTTTTACCGTAAAATCTGTTTTTATCGGAACATGTCACGGAACAAAAAAAATGATGTACAGTAATTTTTACTACAATAATTACCGTAAAACCACTGAATCAATTTAATTACATAAATATTACTGTATAAAGAAAGGTATAATATTTTATTGTCGATTTGTATTTAACGAGAAAATGGATTTACAGACAATGTATTCGAAGTGCCGGTTTTTCATACCGTAATATTATCAGGATTTCGTTTCAGTGCAGTTCAGTTACATTTTAAAGGTTTCTAAGAATTAAATGTTAATTACTGCACAGTTGTGTAATAAACAGTTTGAAAATGTTATTTTTTGTTCATAAAGTATTTTTAAAGCATTTTAACAAACTTTAGTTTCATTCTATTTCTGTCTTTTAAAAACAGTGCTATAAGCTGAAAAAGCAAAATTATTAAAAGCTTTTGAAATAATAATTTAAGGAGAATGAAAAAAATGTGCGAATCCGTTCAGAATTATTTAATTATTTTAAAACATATTGATGAAACATAGGTTTCATAAATAGGTATGAATTTATTTAATTGCCATTACATTCCTCAATAACGCTTATTAAATTTTATAATAAATACCTAATGGAGTAATTATGAAAATTTTTCTTCCAGGAAAAAACAGAATATTTGTTTTTAGTCATTTTTATGATCGAATGTATAATGAAAATTATTGCTTATGGATTTTTGTTCCACCCTGGTGCCTACTTACGCAATGGTTGGAACTTTCTAGATTTCATCATCGTTATTATAGGGTGAGTATAAATTTAAATATTTAATGTCCATGTATTGATCTGTGACGATAGCGATGAGAGATATATTAATTTTATACAAAGCGAATTTGAAGCAGTTTATTTTTATATATATACCTTATAAAACACAGTTATTTTTAATATTATTCATTAAACATCTTTACGTTTTTAGAAATGTTTGTAAGCAACTTGTTTTTGGACATTTATGCATAAGAATCATATGTAGTGGAATTTATGGCATTATGGGGGTTATGGGATTTATGCATCAATGTTAGGATAAAAATCATTAAGGATTTTTCATTAAGCCTAATTTTTTAGAAATATTCTTTTAGTGGTTTATAATGATGTAACGATTTTTATCATTTTATTTAGTTCTTTCATCATAACACAATCTTGTACCTAACACAATTCTTGTATTTTGATAAGAATTTTCACTTTATAGGAATCAAAGGACATTTTTATTAAAAATTGCATAATCAAATAAGCTAAACATAGATGCATTACAAAAATTGTCTGTAAAGTTTCCTTAATAGAAATTAATAGTTATTATTTATATCGGTAATCTTTGTTTCATTTCTTGATTTCGAATTTTATCTTGCATTCAAACGTTGGGTAAGGTGTATTTAGCTAACATAGAGGACTTTGGGTTGTTCAATTTTAGTTTCGAGGCAAAGCGAGATTTTTAATTAGCATTTTTATCTTACATATTCCAGAAGATTTCTAACTTTAATATAAAACTCAGCATTTTAAAAATTCTATTGCAAGATTTGCTCTTAAAAACATTTGCTGTCACCGATTATTCACACTTAAGAGTACAACTTTCACTGTTCGAAAAAAATGTATTACAAAAAAGATATTTATCAAATAATTTCAAACTAAAGAATTTTAATTTTTATGCAAACGATTTTTTTAATTTTTCAAATGTTTTGAACTGAATTTTCAATCAAACGAACTTCGAATCGATTAAATTGAATATAAAGTAGTGCAATACCGTTCTCACCAGCTTATCGTATTAAAAAATAAAAAATTCATCTATCGATGTGAAATGTTTTCACAGTAGCATGAAATATATGTGTTTGCAATTGCATGTTTGGAAAATAGTTGTCATTTATTAATGAAGACATTTTGAACTGTATTGTACGGAGAAAAGAATTCTGGTGAAATGAGAGCACTATATAGTAATGACATTTCTTGTAAAAAAACATAATTCTTGTTTAAAAAACCATTATATACTGTTAAAAAACAAATTATGGTAACGTTTTACCAAAAACTCTGGTTTCAAAATAATAGTTTTTATTACCACATATTTTTAAAAAAAATACATAACTGAAATTTAAATCTAAACGAGTTTTGCCAAAGTCATTATCAAAGCTTCCTCATTATCGTAGTTTTCCCACGGAGCTAGAAACACGGTTAATAATGTGGTAGTTTTGACCTTCCTCAATGTGGTTTTAAAAATAGTAAAATGCGAAATTCAAAATTGCGCTTATACATTTTCAGACAAGTAATAAGAAGTGTGAAGGTTATTTAAAAGTTGGAAGGGTAAATTACCCTTTGATACTTAAATGTTTAAAACAAAAGATGCTTTTAACATTTATATAAAATTCGTCATCTTGGAAAGCTAAATTATTTCTAGTTTCAAGTGAAACTTTTTTTTTGTATTTCCAAAACATTATCCTAAGTATTTTTTATTCAAATAATAATTTTCTAAAAAGCAGAAAAGCTTATTACATTATTCAGCTACAAGAACGGAAGGATACATCCTTGATGGCTACCATAAAAGAATTTTCAGTTGACAAAGGATTTCAGAAATTGCCAGCTTGTGAGTTAAAATATTAGCCCGTGTATTCCATTATAAGCACTGTTTGTTTTCCACATTAAAGGATTTACACGAAGTGAAATTTAGGTTCTCTAGCAGAGAATTGAATTTTCCAAGCAATTTCTTTTCGGATTAAGAACAATAGGGTTGCTTTTGTTGCTTATTTCTTAAGAGGATATAAGTTTGGAGATGCTTGTTTATTTTTGTTGTTGTTGTATAACGTGAAAACATTTTTTTTCAATGACTTTTGGAAATGTCAATTAAGGATACTCCCAAACTTCTAATAAACCGATAGCAGATGTTTAGGAATATATTGAAGGATTATAACTTCCTATACCGCTTGAAAAATATCAAATATAAGACAATATTCAGCAAAGCATTAGAAAAAATGTGCATTGCATAAGAAATGAATAATCTCAAGAAATTTTAGAGTAAAAATATTCATGGTAATGGAACTTCAGATATTTTTATTTGACGCTAATGAAGTTTAAAAGTACGTTTTTGTGACTGATTTCGTAACTCGAAACATCATATGCACTTATAATTTAGCATATTTGAGGTCACCCTCTCAAAATGTATCATAAAACGTGAAGATTTCATCATTAGATCAAAAGTTATTTTAAAGCACTTTTTTTTTAAAGTACTGCACATCTTTACTCGAAAATATACTACTGGAAAAGTTTTTTATACCACTCTAAAGTATGTAAATATTTTGAAAATGGGTTGTAATTATTAAAACATGCTTCGAGAACAGTACTAAATATCATTTGGAGAAATACAAGAATTTGTAAATATATATTGAAAAAAATTTTATTTAGAATTCGCACTCAGAAATAAGTCAAATTTAATTAGACGAAAACAACAGAGAGAATACTATTTCAAATTACAGGGAAAGTAACATTTTTAAATACTATTGGGAGTTCGGATAATATTCAAGATCAAATTCTCAGATATAGTCAATTAATATACTAAATTCTATGTACTACATTGTACTTCAATTGAAGCTTGCTTTTTGTAATTAACAGTTGAAAATTGCAGAAATGGATTGAGGAGCATTATATCTAATCGATTTTGTTTGGGAAAATAATAAATTATGTCACTAAAATGATAAGCATTTTTGATGGTAGGGAAATTAGTAATTAATGCGAATAACCTTCTTGTTCATATTAACAGTTAAAAAAGATTAAGAAAAGTATAAACTTTTCAAACAATGGGAATTAAAATACGCTGAAAAACTTAATTAACTCATTAAATTCTTTAAAATACTTGTCGTACTGCGAAGTTTTCGCTGCGGTTTTGATTACATTTCTGCTGAACAATGATATGACTTTTCAAAATAAGCTTTTAAATTAAAATCTTTAAAAATATTTCACCGTCTGTGAGACAAGAATAATCTTAATTAGTTTGTCATTTCATTAGTTTTTGTCGCCTTAAGATCTTTCGAGTGAAAACTAATTAAGGCTTCGTAAGTATTAAGTTAGTATTACAGCTATTTCAATTAAATAAAACTCATTTTCTAAGACTTCTCATTTCCTGTCCATTGCATTTGGCAAGATTTTGATTCCGCCAAATGAGAGCCATCGTGTAATTGAAATGCATTCAGATGAATTAGTTTTGGTGAAATTATTGAAAAGAGAGTACAATTTAACTTAAACTAAAATTTTGTTTTAAATTGAATAATTTTAATTTTAATTATTCACGTTAATTTCACGAGAGTTTGAATTCACTTCAGGGTATATAAATGCAGTCATTACTAATTAAAAATATTTAACGTGAATTAGAAAGTGAAGTTAATTTAATCAAATGTTAAGTAAAGAATAACTCTTTAAATGTGTGTAGCATGTAGAGTTCTACATATTTAGATAATAAATTCATATGATTAAATTAGGAAAGATACAATTCTTATCGCAATATATAACTTATATTATTTTTGTTAGTTAAATTTGAGGTGATAAAAAAATATTTTTAATCGATGGCTTCAATTAGATAGAAGTGATTTCTCTCAAATTAAAAAATAATTATTCACTTATTAATAAAAATACTTAATAATATCATTTATTTAGAAGCGAAGAAAAAATTATAGAGTAATAGTTATTTTCTTTCAAAAGAATAAATTTGAGTAATAACGTACTTATTATAAATTGATTCAAATAGAAAATACCTAATGCGAGTATTTTTTTAAAACTCACAATTTTAAATAAGTTTTCTCTTTCTCACTAGCAAAGCAGACTTAAAAATACTACCCAAATAAACTTTTAAAAATTATAAGCATGTGATCATTTTAGTTTTCTTACTCAAAAAGCAACAATGTCTAATTAAAATTACTTTCCGATTGCTTATATAAAAATATCCCTTTAAAACATATCAATCAGCGGTTGAAGCTCAATCCAATAATTAATATAAATTAAATGTTTATGATTTTTTACTGTAATTAATTAATATAGTACAATATTAATTAATTACAGTAGACATTTTCATTCAAGTCTTTACTCAAAATGTGAAATTTAAAATAGAAAACCAATGAATTTAATTTTCATTTTCATTCCAAGGAAAAAATACGAAGAATTAAAATGCTGTTTCGCTTTCAGATAAGGCTAAGCAGATAATTTCAGAATCGATGAGAGTTCTATGGAATCATAAGATATTAGATGATTCTGCAGAGCTTTATTGCCAAAAATGACCATAGAACTCCGTCTGCTAGTTAGCTGATTTTTTAGAACGATAATAATCCAGTTAGTTCTTATCTGTAGATTTTTTCTGGACTCTATTTTAGGATCATAAAAAGCATTTATTAAGATATTCTATAACATATTTCTTCTTAAATTAATCTTAATTCAAATTTTAGAAGAAAAAAAAATTTGATACAATAATTAATTCTAAAATACACCCATCAATTGCTAAAACGATTTTCAATAATTAAAAGAAATTAAATGCTTAAAATTTTTAATCAGTGCTCACTAATACAGTAAACTGCGACAATTAAAATTGGTCTGTTTTCATTTAAAATCTGAAACTCAAATCAGAAGAATCTAAAATTAATCTTTATTAACGTGGAAAAAATAAGATGAATAAATTCTAATTTTCATATAAGACCAAGCAGATCGTTTCCAAGATTATGAAATCCCTCAGGAATCTCAAGCTATCAGATAATTCCACAGAGCTTTATTATCAGAAATGATAGCAC